GGCTGCAGGGAACTATCTCGACTCAAGTGCATGCGTGATCACTCCCAGGCCCTGAACGAGGAGTCAGCAGAGCTGGCCATCGAGCTTCAATCGTCGACCAACCAGCGGCCTCACCACGAGCCAGATCGTTTCTGGACGGCCAGTCCGCCGGATTGGCGTCAGTAGACACTCGATCAATGAAGATCTTACACCTAAGCTCCAGAGCTAGATCCCAGAAAACCGAAATCAGAGAGCAAACGTCCTCTTTACTTGAGTAACCCTTCACGAGCGCGGCCTCGACAACTTCGGAGTCGATTAAAATGATGACATCCGAGCTGTTCAAGCGATCCGCGAACGTCTTGAGGGCCAAAATAGGAGCAAGCATCTCGATCGGTATGATCTGGGTTGATCTTGGCAACCAGAGCTTACTTACCGAATTGGGTACTACCGAAGTAAACTGAACAGGTCTACACAGCCTCCGGTCAAACAAAACAGCTCCTACGCGATCAGGCAAACGATTGCTTGCAGGTGTCCGTGGGTCAGGAGTAAATCCGTCTGTAAAAATGACACAGTCGGACTTCTTCTGCACTTGCCTATCGATCGTTCTCGGAGGACCCTCATTGACTAGTTTCAGCCATTGAGAGAGCGCGAGCTTGAGCGGTTTGTCTAACTCGAACTTCGGTCCGATCGGAAATTTCATGTACTGGCGCTCAGAAATCACTCTCAGGAAAGCTCGTCCAACTTTGCCCCAGAGCTGCGAAGCGCCAAACATGAGCTTGCCCTTGAGCTTGCCAGCAGTCCCGGGATCTAGCACGTTGTTGTCCAGGATCGACTGGATTTCACCTGAGAGCTCTTCCTTCCGATCTGGTTTGATTTCGAGCTGCATCTCCTTCAAGTTGTAGGTCACCCCTAAAATGGTCGGAGCGTCTGACAACTGAAGTTTCTTCTGATCATACTTAGCCCCTAACCAAGTGTGCACGCACTCAGCAGTGAGGCGAGCACTAGCGACCGTTGATTCGAGCTCAAAACCATATTTGTCATCATAAAAGCTGAAAGCGACCAACCCAAACAACTTGACCAGTATTTCGTTCACGGCTGCCGATCTCCTGTTATAATTGTAAACAGCAGAGACCAGTCCAAACGAATGACCGATCATTACAAAGAAAGCCGGTCGAACAGACTTGGGGTCTTTCAAACAGATCACTGAAAACTTTCTCTGGTCAGGCTTAACGGCGATTTGCCTGTACGCCTTTCTTTCATCTAGGACCCAGCCTGCAAAGTTGCCGAGCGGCACCAGTGATCTCAACAATCTCAGAGCTGCCACGTTGGAGTCAGTCGATGGCAACTGGAGCTTCTCAGAGATCTTGGTAACTTGGTTGATCATGTTAGTGGTGGCGCTGTCACAACCCCGAACTTTATTCTTTTGAACTACTTCAAATCTTTGGGTTGGTATCCAATCTTCACAACCTAAGAATTCTGAGACCTCTTTTTCAGAGAACCATGGCCCTTTACATGACCCTTCCGAGCAGTCCTCTAACGTTGCGTCACAGATCTTCTGAAGGTTCTCTGAAGTTGGAACTGCTTTCACTCTCTGAACGATCTTCTTGCGGATGTCCCAGGCCCTCGCGAGAGCGTCCCGAACGGGGAGAGCCAGCTGAGGCTTGGTGTAAGGCGGCCACCGCCCAGAAGCATGGATCTCACCAACAATGGGGAACCCGTGCAACAAATCATGGACGAGCTTGGCGTCGACAGAGTTCACAGCCTTGAGCATAGCCTCGTAGAGAGCTACATGGCACACCTGCCCCAACAACGGTCTCTCGTGTTCAGAGCAGCCGCGCAGCAATGCGCGCAGGTCAGGGTCCGGCTGAGCAGCAATGCGCGCCAAAGACACTGGCAACAACCGATGAGCTTCAGCTTCCCACCAGGCGAGCGCTTCCAAACGACGAGCCACTGCCGCTACAGGATCGAGCGCCAATGCATGGAGCGCCGCCTGAAGTGACGGCTCCACTTCGAGCTGGACCGTGAAAGGATGAACGACCTGAAGAGCCCAATGCACAGCCTGACCAGGCTCCAACTCCACTTCCAACAACGGTTTGAGAGCTCCTCGTTTGAGCTGATAACCAGAGAGCAGAGCTTTTCGAGCAGAGTCTTCCTGACGATGTCCGTGCCACACGGAGAGCTGCCCCAATGGCCGCTTGCGATCTGCCGGTGCGGTAGTCAGCTCGAACGAGGCTGTGAATTGGGACAGATCAGCGACCCAGATCTGGTGCACCAACAAGGCCATAGAGGCACACAGGGCGTAGGGGTACTCCTGCGCGAGCTTGGTCCGGAACACGAAGCGCCCACGGCGATCATCCCAGATCTTGCCCCGGAGCTGCTCATGCACATGATTCCCAGGGCACCGAACCCGAAGGGCCTCAAAGATCTGGGAGGTGACCCGGAGCCGGGTAGGCTTGACTGAAGGAGCTCCATAGACGCACTGATCGAAGTCCACATCAAAACAGCGAGCCGCCCGAGCCAATTCCATCATCGGAGGGGTTTCCCATAGCAAGCTGAGGAGTGGGTTCTCGATCGAGAAGTCGCCGCCCACCAGACAAACAACCAGAGCGAGTTCCACAGACCGCAGCATGGACATGTTGCCCATGAAGAGGATGGCCTGGTTGGTCTCAGAGAGCATAGGCAGCCCCATCGGAGCCTGCTGGGAGCGGAGGGGCGGAGGGCCTCCATCCAGTTTCCGAGCCGAGGAAAAAGAGTTGCACGGAGTCCCCAAATGCACAAAGAACAAGGCGCCGACATGTGCGAGCTGCATAAGGCGCTCCCAAAGCTCCAGGTCGAGTACGTCGACGGCATGCGGCACCATCTCCGAGCACTCAATGTCCACTGGGGGCAGAACGGGAACCCGCAAATATTGAGGTACTCCAAGGCAACAAAGAAAGCATGGAGCTTATCCATCACCTGCGACTCAGAGACCATGTGAACAGGCTGATCGACTTGCACCACCTTGAGCAAGTCCTCGGCACTCCTGCTGATGCCAGATTTCTGAGCGATCTGCTCGTTGCGCGTGCGCATCTCGCCAACTTCATAGAAGTTGACCGCTCCATGAACCATGAAGTCGCGCTGCAGGCGCTCAACGAATTTCCGGTGTGGTTCGCGATGGTGAGGAAGAACCACATCCGGGTGGCGAGCAATGAACTGCTGGCGGAACTCTGCATGATCTTCGCCCGGAATTTCCGGGACTTTGTTGGGATCTTCCTCCATTTTGGCTCTGCGAGCAGCAAAGTGTTCCTGCATGGTGGAGCAAGTACGCCAAACCGCCGCCAGGGAGGTCAGCGAGAGCTCCTGCCGTGGCAGATCTGCTCCGAGCTTGGTGTCATCACCGATCATGGTCTTGACGGTCTGCTTCACTGCTGCAATGGTGTCGCCGAGCATGGCGAAGGTCTCAACCGTGAGCAGGCCAGCATCTGCCACGACCTTACACAGGTCAGTGGGCACCCTTTGTCGACCAAAGATCTGCCGCAAAGGCAAATCCGGCGTGTGATCAGCATCGGAGTAAACGGTGCGATCCACCATGGTGCCCCGCGAACTTGAGCGGCCCAAAAGAACTGCCAATTGAACTGGACAATCATGCTCATGTCAAACGAAAAACACGATCTGAAAAACTGTGGCCGTGAACGAACGATCGACCGTGTGCGACGCAGACACTTGAGCAAACCCAAAACCGCCTCTCTATGTGAGGGCGAGAGCACTGTTTCGAGCTGCGTCGTGCGTCTGAAAAGGCCTTGACTACGTCTGGTCGAGCACGTGCACATGCTTTGCACAGAACTGTCAGGTCCGGCAAAACCGTGCCCATGGAGCTGCAATCGTCCACAGCGAATTTATTACATGCTACCCTGGACGGATCGTCTGTGTTCGAACAGTGGTAGCGGTAGTCATAATAGGAACCCGGAGCCGGGTTCTTGAGGAAAAACTCAGGAGCGTCCAGGGCGAAAACGTCTGGCACATCGAGCAAGACATCATCCGACTCCTGAACCGGGTGTTCCTGAGCCAACATGTCCTGGACGAGCTGCTGGACCATTTTGGCCGGCACGGACGAACGATTCCGAGTGTACTTCAGGACCAAAGGGCCGGGATCCTTCCAGTTCGCCTGGAGCCCGATCTCCTCTGTTGATCGTCCCGCGTGCACTGCTGCGTCCAGCAACGTTACTCGAGCTGAGTGGGCAGAGAGCTGATTAATCTGAACGGCATGAGCTTTCGCCTCTTCAGGTGAGCTCTTTGTGAACCGATCTAATGCGTCTCTGGCCAGCACTTTCAGCCATTGTACCGAGCGGTGGTAGTCCGGTGGTTGGGGGCGGAACTCTGAACGTGAATTCAAATCAAAGATCCAAAAATTTAAATCACGATCAAGCGAATCAGCCAACAACAAAGACCATCCCTCCTCCAACCACTCGACCCCGGAAAAACCAACCCTCGGAATCACGAACTTGGTCCCTCGGCGCTTACGCTCGACTTTCGTCTGCCAAGACACCCCGAAGAGGCCATCGCTGAGCAGCCAAAGCTCGGCCGGTTTCACGTGAACTCCGTCGTCGAAGCGGAGCGACGCGAAAACCAAACACAACCACCACCAAACAAAAAGGCGAGCGGCCGCGGGAGCTTCCGAAGCAACAAACACTTCGAGACAGCGAATGACCTCCATGGGAATTGGGACCGCCTCTTTGAGCAACTTAGCTCGTTTAGTTACCACTTCTTTTTGAAGGGCAACCAAAAGGGGGTCATCCAAATTCGGGCAGTCGATCGCGAGCCGCGCTGTGACCCACCGTATAGATGATCTTAAAGAAGGGATAACCGTGGAACCACACTCTCTACCGTCTAAGTATAGAGCGTATTTCAAAACTTTGTCCAGCGACAAGGGGAACATGGGGATGTTGTTAGATGCGATCCAGAGCTCAAACCTCTCCCATGCACGAACGTGTGCCGCCATGGTGCGATGCGCCCCTGACGTAAGGACAAGGTGCCGGAGACGAGCCGACTCGCCTGCCGAGAGCTCTTCACCATCACAGGTCTTTTCGAACAACTTCGCCCATGAGCCAGCCCTGCGCCCGATTTCCTCGAGCTTGGCGCCCCACCTGTGCCGTTCGGCCTGTTCCCGATCCAGGAGCGGTGTTGAGCCTGTCGAAGGATCACCCGTGGTCTTTGCCCTCTTCGGGTCACGAACAGGTTTCTGAACAAGGGCACGAATGGCTGCCTGTTTCCTAAGAGCTGACTCTTCCGTGAGAACCCGGTGTGCCTGAGCAGGCTCGCACAGACCAAACCCCAGTTGGAGGGTCGTCGATTCGAAAAAGCTTTTCTCGACCGACGAAGAAATGCTCCAAAACTGTTCGAGCATGGCTGGCTCCTTGAGCAAGGCTGCAGCCACTTTTGGGTCCATCGCTCCGGCCCAATCGGAGACTTTCTGGGCGAACTGCGCCCCCGCTGACACTTCCATTGATGCGATCAGCGCCAAATTGGCCAGAGGTGATGCCGCGAGCGCGTCCGCAAAATCATGTGAAAACACTGGAAGTGCGAGCACCTTCGAAACCCACCTATCCACTCCCTGAGCCATGATCGCTCTCGCGGTGCTGAGGTTCCGCAAACCGTCATCGAAAAACTCGAACGAGCCCAGCTGGGATTCACACCTCGTCAGCGTGCGCACCACACGTCGAGACAGTAGTCGAGCGACGGCTCCGGAGTGAGAAAAGAATGAGCTCACCTCGGACCTTGTTGCCTTGCCGACAAAGTTCCTCACGAGCACGACAACGAACTGTCAAGATTTCTTTGGTCGAGCTTGTCAATTAAAGGAACCTATTGAACAGTCTTTAATTGATCAACACCGACAGCGTCAGAGTGTGGCTAGAGCAAGGCTACCGGCATCATACACTATGTTAGAACCGGCAGCGATCGCTTCATGCGCAACACTCTGAGCTTCCACAACGAGCTGTTCTGAGGGTTGAACCTGCAGTGCGAATCGAGCCACGCGATCAGGCATTAGGGTCCCCAGGGCGGCTGACGATCAAACCCGGCAACCTTCCCCCCCAAATCTCCGATCGCACGAACCTCGAACGAGTCCGCGAGCACAGCATCAACCCTAAGATATGAAAAAGATCCAACATCAAGCACATTGGCAAAAATTAAAATTGACCCCGTTCGCACAAGCTGGATCGTCCACAAAGAAAATATCTCTTTCCCTTCTGAGCGGAACGATGGCCAGGTCTGGCCCTGCAAAGTGCGAACTGCACACCACAACCGGATTAGGACCTCACTCAGTCCAGCTCAGACCAGCTCGCCTTCCTCCTCGGGCTTTGCCGGTCCAAACGACTGAGGCACACCCGGCGACGCCTCTTCAGGCGTGATGGTCACAGTTGACGGGCGATTGACCCTAGGGGTGGCCTGGGCAGCATACGAGCTCAAAACTGCCCGAGACTGCTGTACAAAAGCTTGCGGTGTCACGGCAGCCTCAGACATGCATTCACCCCGCCGGTGCTCGAGCGACCTCCGAGGGGCATAGATCATCTGACTGGACTGAACTGCCCCCTGAGCTGGAGTCTGCCCCGGATCGGTCAATGAGACCGGAGCCGCCCCGACCAGATCCCTGATCGGCTGCCACTTTGATTGAGCAATCGCCACTGCCGGAGCGCCCATCGTTGGCGGCAGGATCATGGTGGCCTTCTCGGTCGCCGGGTCATGATACTGCAAGGCGATCGCCTCCTTGGGCACGATCTTCTTCTCCATCTTGAACAGAGGGCTCTCGCAGGTGAGGTGAACGTTTTCCTGGTGCGAACTCACGTCGACCGCCCCGATGCGAGCGCCTGTCTCTTCAAGGGACTGAGCAGTCACCCCAGACGTCCAATGCGCATGGATCCCTGCGATCTGGCCCATCTGCATAGTCTGATCCGGGCTCTCCACTCGTGCATAGTGATCACGACACCAGCGGGCGTTCCGAACGAGGGTCGGCCCTGAGCAGCGGGACACCACGAGCCATGACGAAGGAACAGCGATCGTAGAGCACCTCATGTCCAACCGATCTTGGGAGGAGCAAAATCGGAACTCCAAACGATCTGCGTCATGGCCGAAAGAATCAGCCGAGGACACTGCAGTCAGGCGAACCTCAAAGTGGCACAAAGGAAAATCCAAGGCCACGACGATACCGCCTTCGCTGCATGCGTAGAGCTGGCCACCGACCTCGAACGAGATGGCGCACACTCGCCACCCCTGGAAGACAGTGACCGTGCATGACGGTATGAACAACACGTCCTCGAGGCCCATCACGAGAGCGTCGTTCACGTAGTTCAATTGGATCGTCATGTCTTGATCCGAGCGGTAACCACGCAATTCGAGATGAAGCAGGAGGCCACCCTCGATCTTCACTTTGACGTCAACCCACGTCGAGCTGTCGTCCCTCATGATGGGCCACCTGAACGGTTGGAACGACTGGTGGCTCATCACGTCTCCGGTCAAGGAGTCCCACTTGCCGCACGGCACCGATCCGTACGACGTCATCGAGCCGACCAAGATGAACTTCTTCCCCTCTAACGTTCTCATATAGAACAAGCTCATGTGGTACCCGGTCGAGGGGCTGCGCAGCAGTTTGGCGTCTGATAAGACATTGACCCCGGCCTGCGCATTGATGAGAATTTCATCGAGCAACCAGCCCTGAAATGGACTTGAGATCCTCTGATCACGAGAGTCGACCACGATCACTGATCTCTCATTCTCACCTGAGCCAACCTGGCTCAGGTAAGGTGGCAGGGCTGAAGACAGTGCATTGTGGAGGCCTCCTCCGAGCTGTCCAAACCTCAAGGCCTTCGCCCCTTTTCGAGCTGCCCTTTCAGCCTGCTTTCTGAGCTTTCGTGAGCCGTATTGCAAATTCACTCCAGCTAGCAGGTTCTGAGCTGCTTGTGTGGCAGGTGCCGAAGCTGAGGTGCTGAAGACCGGAGGTGGAGGAGGGATCCCCGGTGGCGGTGCCTTGGGAGCCACTTCTGCTCGAGCTGGTGGTGCTGGCCGCTGTGGCTCAGATGAACTGGCTGGCTGATCAGCCTTTGTCGCACTCGTCTGATCTGCTTGAGGAGGAGGCGTGACCTTATTCTCGATGACCACCTCTGAATGCCGCTTGGGTAGCTCCAAATCAGCTGGTGGCAGATCTGCCTCAAGGTCTTCTCGATGAACATGGCTCCAGCTTTGGCCACTCACATTACTGATCGAGTCTTCTGGTCGAACAGCCCGTGAGGCAGCCATTGCCTGCTGCCTTGCGAACGGCGGCAGCGGATTGGACGACATCGCTGGAGCCGCGTCCGATCTAAGAAAACCTAGGGTGAGTCCCCAGGCCCAAATCAGAACGAAAAATTCAGACCCTGGGGATCACCCTCTGCCTCTTTCGCCAAAATGGCAGCATCGATCACGGGTGATCACCCTCAAACAAAGTAAACAAATAACCGAGCAAGTCGAATGAACAGAAGCCTCGAGTATCACCTTTATCCCAGACCTACCTAACCAACGATAATGGCACATGTAGACTCTTGACTAATAAACCCCCAATGGTACAGAGGTGTTTCAATCCAACTCGGATCGCCTCCAAAAGGTCTTCGAGGCCTAACCGCCGGAGGACTTCCTCCAGAGCTGCCCCACGCTTCACGAAGGCCTCGCACCACCGCGGACCAGCGCGGAGAAGCGCCGCAACGGGGGCGAACACACCCAAGCATCGGGACATCCCGAAAGCTTCCAAACGTGGAAGAAACACCCAGGGCTCCGAAGTGTTTGACAAGTCCAACCTCTCAGGGCTTCCGACTCGTTTGGTTTTATGGCGAAATACCCTTACTGTTCGCCAGAATGGCAAGAAGTGTTGAGAAAACTCTCCAAAGACAATCCAACAGCACCTGCAGTTTTTGTTGGAAACTCCTTTCCAACTGGTCCAAACAACCACCCCACCTGTAACACCCGGTGTAACTCGCAGACTCGCACCTTCAGGGCTTCGGGGTCGGCGAGCAAATCCTCCAAACCTGCTTCGGCAAAGATCTGACGCAGAGCCTCCAGCGCTTCTTTCAGTTCCTGGACGAAGGCAAGTTAGCGAAAGTCGAGGCTTTGTGGTTTCTCTCTTTTTTGAAGAAAACGGAAGAAAAGGGAACCTGCTTCTATGATGTGTGGCAACCGCTAGGCCGTTAGGCATGCCAGGCAGAAGAGCTACAAGACCTTCGGCTTTCCTAAGGAAAAGGGAAAGAAACATGTGAATGTCTTCTTACAACCCACGACAGCGACACCGGAAGTCGTCATTGCATGCGGCAGTTCCGCTCTCTCTGAACCCCCGACAAAATGGTGCATAGGAGGAAAAAGAACAATCATCAAAGTGGAGGCCATCGCTAGTAGGTTGGAGGCCATCGCTCTTCGGTTGGAGGCCATCGCTAGTAGTTTCCTAGGCTATTAGGTTGGAGGATACCCCGATAACAAAAAGTGCATTCGAAGCACTTGGCAGGTCTTGTTGCGCTCGTCCAAGAGTTCTTGTGACTCTTGCAGCTGTTGGATACGCTTCAAATATCCCCCAATTCTCTCTGCTTGGGTCTCCTGCCAAGCAAAGGCTCAACAAAATGATCCGAAATGTTGTAGTTTTGGACAGACTTGCGCAAGCAGTGCTCAGTATGAGCAAGAAAATAGGTGACCATTCAACTAGTGTAAGTAAGTTTCACCAGCTCCTTGTTAGGTGGAATGGGAGTTCCAGCTTCAGGATCAATGCAAGGGATGCCTTTGCATGCTTTCAAACTTTGCCCGGTCCTCCTCTTGTTGGTACAGGATGTTTGCAGCTTTCCTGAAGGAACACGTGCCAGAACATCAACTCTGGGATAAGCTACGATCTTTGAAGAGAACCATCAAGGAGACTTGCAAATCTCAAAAGAAATGAAAGGTTACAGCCGGGCAAAGCAGCATTTTGAGCATTTGACATCCTCTTCATCTCTATTTGTTTGCAGACCATCTTGCAAACTCCCATTTCAGACTGCTCAAACCGCTCTTGTCGTCGAGCTTCAACTCATCTACTGACGCTTCTTCCCCGCGAATGGTGTGTCTCCAAACCTGCTGGCAGCGGTAGGAGCGCCAGTGGCAGCGCTGGTCCAGCTTCCCATTGACTAACGATGTCTTCATACGGGTTGGTTCATGTTGATTTGTGTGGAATGGAATGGTGCTCAATTTTATTAGGTTGGAGGCCCTCGCTTCTATGTTGGAGGCCCTCGCAATGATCCACAAACGATCAGGATGTGCTGCACCCAGTACTCGTCTCCGAATGGTCTCCTTGAGCTTGCGATCTCCGAAGGAAGTACTCCACACGATCTTGGACCTCGTTCGCCCGAGCTGTTCGCCGGAGCTCCGCAAGTCGATCCAAATGGTGTTTTTCGGTGATTCTGCGATTCTTCGAATGAAAATGGCTTCTGGCCAATTCTAGAAGGCAAATCTGAAGATGAAGCTGAACCGGCCGAGTCATTGAAAAAAGAAGCTGAGTCATTCAGTCAGGTCGCTCCACGCGATCCACCCCAATGAGGTTGGATACATAAGGCTTGTGTCCATCTTCAGCAGAAGTTTGTGCCATATCTCGCTGTGAGAACACTTGGATCGTTGGATGATGTCCACAAACCCACACATCGTGGCCCAGGGGAAGTAAGGCATAAATACCTCAGTGCAACGCATCAAACTAACGAAACAAGGAAAGGTGCCTCAGGATCACCATGAACGAAAGCATTCTATGTAGCTCACACTGTGTCCCAGTGTCTTCCTTCAAGTCTCATCCGCACAGTGGTCCACACTTGTCTGTTTTAACTTGGACTTTGCACTGCCGCTAGCGGCTAGCCGCGGGCGGGCAATCCCAGTGCTTTCGTCCGGTCAATTGTAAGGAACCCCAAGACACTCAGAGCTAGTAGGAACAAGTGCCACGCTACTAGTAACAAGTGCCTTACTAGTAGTAACAATGTTCGCTACTAGTACTAGTAGTCTCATAGGCCCGTGCCTTACTAGTAGTAACAAGAAGCTAGTAGTTAATTTACATTTAATTCTAAGAGCAAACATTGTTACTACTACTAGTAAGGCACTTGTTACTACTAGCGTGGCACTTGTTACTAGTAGTCCATTCCGAACTCCAAGACACCCTTTTCACTGCCAGGTGGTGCAACTTGTCGGAGACACTGGCGCTTCTCACCCGTCATGTTCCACTCCTCGAAGACTGGCAATTGGAGAGCCTATTAAAAGCGGCAAACACCCTTGTACGACCAAAGCATGACACTTCATGCCTCATCATGAACAAGGACGCTACTAGGGGCTCCTGGCCTTTCTACTAGGAGCAATGTTCGCTACTAGTAACAAGGGCATTGCCTAGTTTTTACCATCTTTGAGCGTCGCAAAGCGACCAGGGAATAGCCGTTATACTGGCCCCCCCCATCCTTCCTGTGTGACCTCCACCAAAAGCCGCGCATTTTCCGGCGCTGCTCGTCGCGGTCGTCGCTTCCCGCCTTGATGAGGCCGTCGGATCCCGCCGACCACACGAAGCATTTCACCACGGTGAGCCTCGACGCCACGGGTCCACCGACCGCCACCGGCACGGGTTCGGTGGGAAGATGAAGGAGATTAAAAGAAAAATACATGAAACTACTGGATGTATCTGTATGTAGATCCAGGATTGTCAATCTAGTATGGCTTGGTGATGTTTTTCGCATGGAGTGTCTCCGTATCAAAGCCTTTTCAACGATCTGCGATCTGCTAAAGGCTTCATACTCAAGACGTGATGAAGACATCCATACAACTGGAAGTGACGCTCTGGTTTTGGACGCTCGAGCTGCTTGTTGACAGAGCCGGTGTGGGCATCCTGCACTGCGCCGTGTTTGTGTCACAACATGACATCCGTTTCCACAACAAAGCCACTTGGTGTCATTAAGCGCTGCTGTCAGCTGAACAGGCCATGATCAGGCGCCATCATTCTGAAAAGATGGATTACAATTCTAATTAAATTCTTATTGTTACTAGTAGTAAGGCACTTGTTACTAGTAGTAAGGCACTTGTTACTAGAAGCGATGCACCTGTTACTAGCTGCAAAGGTCCTACGTCGTGACGTCGAAACACGTCGAAACACGACAGTCGGAGTCCTCAACGATTTCCATGCACTCGCCATCGATGCATCGCCATAACCTTTCGACAAACAACAGAAACAAGTTGACAAACATCTTCAATCAGTCGATATATCGAGGCCCTGCGTTTTCAACTTGAGAAGGCGTTTTCTTTTTTATTTGGCCCGTTTCTTCACCTGAAGCAGTTCATGGTCTCCAGTCAGTTCGTGGAGTGTGAACACGAGCAAAAGCATCTTACCTACCACTCGATTCGTGGCCTCGATCCAACACCAACAGCACTTAAGACACACAGAGACACCCATGTGACACGTTTCCATGCATGCACCTTGTTTGACACCGCTTCGTTACGACCTGGCACCATGACCGCTCAACAACGCCTGATGGATCCATCATCTGCTCCGGACCACAAGATGGGGCCCAGCTTCAGTAAGGTCTTCAGGCCATTCTTGTGACCATGCATATGCAATCCTGGAAAACAAGGAATCAGAAGGTTGGAGGTCATTGCTGGTTGGAGGCCATTGCTATTAGGAGGGAGGTCGGCCAAAAACAAAAATCTGAAGGAACATTGTTCAAACATGTTCACCACTCATTTACCCACTTACATCCATTTACCGCGTCAAGTGTTGCCAGGAGATATTCGTGGATGTGTCGCGGATTGCCAGGTGTGTTCCCCGTTTCCACTAGGTTCCCCAAGAGAAGTTCATTGCCAAGGAGATATTCTTGGAAGCGAGACCATGACCATGACAAGGACATCATGACTGGCTTGGGGGTTCTCAAACACCTCGAGCAGGGCATTTAGAAAAAAGGCGAACCAAAAACTATATCGACAACGGAAAACTCCGTGCACATCCCGCCCTTGCACTCCAAGCGCTGTAGCACACTGCGCGCTGCAGCGTGTCGCCGCTCCTTTGAGGATGCCAACTTTCCATCGACCCAGCTCCACAATGGTCGCTTCTTTGTCTTCCTTCACAGCCGCTGGCATAGCTTTCTTTGAGCGCCAGGTGTGAATGTACCATTCGCCTTGGAAGAAGTGTGAGAACTGGTGGGACGGGTGATGCATTCCACATCATTTCCTCTGCAATCTGAGTGTCGGATAGTGAAGTCATTGCTTCCACTCCAGGCTTTCCTGTTGGGAAACTCCTGCACAAAGAAAAAGGATGCTACCAGGAGCAAAGGACACCGCTACTAGGCACAAGGACGCTACTAGGGGCTCCTGGCCTTACTACTAGTAACAAGAAGCTACTAGGAACACTGTGCACATTGAAACCTTTCAATTGGATCCCTGACCGTGTGGCCTAGACGACAACTTGGCCTCAGCATGTGAGAATCAAGCATATGAACACCCTGGGTGTCCCTCTTGATGCTGAGCATCAGGGAATGGAGAGAAGAGAGAAGATTAGGAAAGGAACCTTCAAAGCCAATCCAGGAGGCCATCGCTACTAGGTTGGAGGCCATCACCTCCCATTCTCACAGATCCTCGGCATCGTTGTCACCCATGCTGTCGTCACAGGCGAGGCAAGTGACGCCACCAGTGTGGCCACCAGTTAAGGTGCCTTTGGGCTCTTTCCTCGCGTCCAGCAAATCCAAGTTTCGCACAGGACATGTCTGCACAAAGTCTCAGACTCCAACGGGAATTCTTCTGGAATGACAGGCAATGATGCGTCTGAAGACGCCTTCTTTCATCCTCTTTCCATTTCTGCACTATATAAGTGGATTTCAATTAAAGCTTCTACCCGCGGTACGAAGTAGAGATAGAGCACAATTATCACAGAATCATTCACTTCGACATGCATCTGGCTTCTGGACCTTGAAGCCAACACATCCAAGGCACTTCTTGGTATCAAAGAGAGAAATGCCAAAGGCCTCCTGGCCCATCCACATGAGCCCAGGTTTCATATGAAGCATGCTCCAAACAAACCTCAGCAGCGTTCAGAGCACGGGCGACAGTCCAACGGAGTGGACCAGAACTTGCGTAGAGACGAATTCTCAAAAATCCTCTGGATTCCGTGATAGCAAGGAGCGCCCCGATCGTAGCGTCCGATCGCTCCGTTCGTAGCGATGCCAGGAGCCCCTAGTAGCTTCTTGTTCCTAGTAAGGCCAGGAGCCCCGATCGTAGCGTCCTTGTTCCTTATTTCAAGGAAAGGAAAGCTGCAGAATATCCAACCAACCATTCAAGAAAACGGAAAGACTCCATATCCATCTATCCACTGTCACAAGTCACCAGTCTTGTTACTATTGCTCACTAGTCATCGATTCCAAGAGGCCTGTCGGTGGGGATCGTGCCTCACGCCAACACAGTGCCCGACCCGCCCGGCGGAGATCGGTCGGAGATCGGTGTTCGGATTCAGTCTACCTCCGCGTGAAAGAATAAAGAGAAACACACACACACATCGCCACGAATCCTTACACACCAGTGGAAGCCCCAATCAGACGGGAAAAAAAGAAAACAAAAACAACGGGTTTACCCCACAATCCCCCCCAAAAAAGAAACATCACCATCTGGACTTTTGGACAGCTCTCTCGTGTCATAAAGAGAAAACACGGATGGAGCCCACGAACCCGAATGCACACACGTGCTCGAAAACAAGCGGCCAAACATTGTTTGACACTCTTATGGGACGCTCTTGTACTAAAGACACACTTATAGAGAGCTATAATTAGATACCCCCTGCTATAGGACTCTCGCTGTGGCACGGTGCGAAGCTCCACGGCTCCCCACGACCGTGCCCCACGCGGGCCTAGGACCTTGGAGGCGTTGTCCCGGTCGCGCACCGTGACGACGCCGTGCCAGTCCACCGTCCAGACCTCTCCACCGATGCAGATCGCCTCGGTTCGGCACGAGGTGCGGCCGTCGCCGAACGGAGAAGAAAAAAGGACGAGTAGAACTTGGTTCGGATGAAGCGCAAGAAAACCAAGTGTTCAGAGCACCGCTTTCTTTCAGAGATACGGTCCATCTTTCGAAAACGGAGGACTCGATGGAAGAATCAACTCCAGCCCCGTCATCTTGGACGGTAGGACTGTGAATTCGAATCTGCAACCTGGGTGGACGCCATCGCAAGTAGTTAGTAGCAAGAAGCTCCTAGGGGCTTGTGGCTGGTGTTACTACTAGGAGCATTCTTACTAGTAAGAGCTACTAGGTTGGAGGACAACACCGTCCCTTCCAAGTGACATTGCGGATGGGTTTCCCAAACTCCAAGATCTTGTCGCACTTCACGCCTCAGCGAGCGACGATTCGACCGACCGACCGCTGCAAAGCCTCCGCGGTGCCTGGACGGTACCGGCCTGGAGCTGAGCTCGACTTGGCTTTGCCCTTCGGTGGCTTGAAGTCGCCTGACAGGACATGGAGCTTTCTTTGTGAGGGCTGGTGTTTCGACCTTCTCTGGCAGTAGCCCGGGTGGTCCAGCAAGCGTGAAAGTGCCAATTGACTCGTCACCCCAAAAAAATGAAACGAGCAAAACAGAGACTCAGTGGAATGGGGAGCTCTAAAGAAGAAAAGAGAAACACAATAAGTTGTCATAAGCCAGGACAGAAGCCACAAGTGCTGACCACTTCGGCGGTTGAAAAGACTCCGTTTTATGACTCGACTGCATGGCAGTCGAACTCGTCCTCTCGCCTAAGCTTTGCGAGTTTTCAGGGCTTCGAGTCGCTTCAGACTCATTGTCACTGTGCTGCAGCTTCTCGTACCTACCCGGTGCCAGAAGTCTTTTTCACGACTCGCAGAAGACGACAGGAATCGCTGCAATGAACTGCATGAGTGGAGTTGAAGTAGGAGAGTTGTAATCTATGCCTGGGAGAGTTGGTGTGCCACATATCTGCAAGCAGAAGGGTCTAGGAGATATTATCATGATGATATCATATGCCTAGGAAAGCTTCACTCATACGAAACGGTGTGACACACACGTATACATCCACTGGGCATGCGATCCATCGCTCACATCGACTCGGCTTTTCACCGCGACACCGGGCAACGAGGTCTCGTCGGCAACGACGCCGCGCTCACGCGCTCCGGAAGTTCCTGGAGACCGTGGAGTCCAAGCCTGGACATGGTTCGTCCAATGCGTCGGAGTTCGTTGAGCAAAGGCTTTGGCTCAAACATCCGCATCTTTGTGTATACATGTCGTATACCTACCAGTCAAGAAGTTCTTGCTCTTTGTGTCCCTCTGTGTTTTGGTCGAGGTTAATGTTGTTCGATGTTTATTGGACCTTCTAAGCCCTGTCACGCGGCAATCCCATATTCTTCAATGGAACGGCTAGACTCTGCCAAAGCTCTTCAGAGTGTGATGAAACTGACGTTTGAAAGAACCACAAACGATAGGATAGGACAGCATCCTGCATAGGATCCACAGACTGTCTACACTTTTGTGTCACTCGGACGAGCCTTGACCCAACCAGTCAACAAAGTCTTCATACTGAACCTGGGCACTGAAGGGTCGAAGGTACGAAGATGTACGAAGGACCCGCGACATCTGGCCTTTCCAGTGGCAGTCTTGTCCATGCTGCCCAACAAGGCCTTCACAGCGGCATCCTGGGCGTGGGATCTGTAGAAACAGATGAAGAGACGTGCGCAAACCAACATCAGAAACACCGTCAATGCTAACTAACATTGGTTCTGAGCCCAATGGTCGTTCCGCTTGGCGTCCTAATGCAGCTTGGCATCCTTCCAAAAATCAGGATCAATGGTTTGTAGGACATTTTGAAGTTCCACCTCATCTATTACCTGGGCAGATAGACATGGCATCTAGATCCTTGAGTGAATCGGACCTGGTGCTCTAAAGATAGAAAATCGGAAATGAACTTATGGCTAGAACTTTCACTTTGCGACTCAAGGGAAGCTCCTTTTGCAGCAGAACTCTCAAGAAATTGCTGGTTGTTTGAGTCGCTTGAGTGCCTATTTGTAAAGCAAATGGTTAGACTTTCGAAAGCGAACAAGAGATGACACTTGGACAAGACACTCCATCCCCGTTCAGGTCAAACTGTCGGAAGCTTTGCCGCACCACATCTAAGCTTTCACTGCCCATCTTAGATGAAGCAGTTGTCGATACTTTGTCGACTTGTATGTATGAAAGGTCCGTGCTGGAGTAATCGAAAAACCATGGATCCTGTCAACTCTTCTCCAACTGTTGGTGGCATGCCGAACCCGACCATTGACTCGCCACGAAAACAAAGAAGAATTAGGAGCAAGGACGCTACGATCGGGGCTCCTGGCCTTACTACTAGGAACAAGGAGCTACTAGGGGCTCCTGGCATCGCTACTAGGAGCAAGGACGCTACTAGGGTGGAGGTCATTGCTTTTCTTCTGATGGTTGTCTCTGTCTCATATCCGACCATCTTTTTGCTCTTTTTGTGCAACACAAGAGAAAAGGTGAGTGGCTGGGCAAGCAGTCCACCATCGGCGTGTAAGGTTCTTGGTGATGTTCAAGGGAAAGAGACAAACCACTGGAGACTGAATATGAGAATCAGCATGAGACAAATCTTCAGCTGGCCACCAAATTTACAAGTAGCACTCCCCTGACAAAGCCAATGCATTGTCTTGCAGCAGAATCTGCAATTGGCATCACACAAAATATACAGTTACTTATTATATATGTATAACTACTGTACGTTCTGAGAGATCAAACACAACATGTTTTGACTGTGACGAAGTGAAGCTCCAATACCTAGGTTAGGTCACAAACACCAACTGGCCAAGAAGGGGAAAAAGGATCCAGTGGTGAGCTCTTTTCATGGATCCAGCAACCCTGTTCTTTGCGGCAGAGGGCAACGTCCATCAGAGCATCGGCTGCGCACCTTTTGCAACGTTCGTGTTAACGTCCGTGTCACGCACCACCGGTGCCACTGCAAAGCAAACTTTTCGCCCTGCAGCTCCACATGCACTGCACAACCACGGTTCAAATGCGACAGCAGGAGGGATCTTCGACATGACAGCTATCAATCGGAGCGTTTCTTCTCCTTTTGCGGGTGTGAGGGTGTGTTCGCGCTGCCGGACGGACTTGGGGAGCGAAAAAGAGAGTCAAAAGAAACAGAGCTTCATGATGCAAATGGGGTTAACGCCTCTTGGAATCGTATGAAGACCCCCCAAAACCATCGAACACGTGTTCCGCGTGAAGATCCCTCTCACTTGCCATCATTGCAGAGTCGAATCTGAGGTAACAGGTTGATCCTGGCCTCGGGGGTCGGAAAGTGGACCACTTGAAGAGATACCTGGGTCCCTAGGGGTTTTCATCGCTACTAGGTTGGAGGCCATCGCTAGTGGAGGCCAGTGCTCGGTTCCTTTTGCTATTAGGTTGGAGGCTATGGGTTTTCTGTTTCTCCATGGATCATGACCCACCTTTTTGCGCGAATGACCTTCGTGGTTAGGTCGGTCAACCAAGCTCTCCTGGTCTTTTTGGTCTCTTGTCAGAACAACGGAGGAGAACTGGAGCAAAATATGTTCTTCGATCCCACCGGTGTGGACCTGACACCTCGGCAACGCGCTGTCACTCGGACTCACTGTCGCTGGACAGCTCTCCGGAAGGTCACCAAGAGTGCTGTGACCTCAGAGGCGGAGCGGAACGAGCCCGACGGGACTTCCACCAGGACTCCACCGACCCAGTGGTGTGTGGACTCACCGTGTTCGCTGGTGTCACGGTGTTGGTTTATAGTGTTTGGTCTGGGAGCCCGACATTGTCACGTGACCTGCGTTCATGAATTGCTTCATGAACAATGTCCTGAACAGCTCTCTGTGGATCCTGGGCTGTCGGCTGTTGATGTGTCTGTCCAACGGCCACCGTCACCCTCAAACTGTCAGTGTCAGCTTGTCGAAACCGCTCGTGGTTGAAGCAAAACCATGCTTTTTTGAGCTAATAGTATCACAAATGGACGGGCAGTTTGTCCATTGCGTTGAGTGATTCAAGGCGTCTACAAAGATTGCCGTGGAAGAATAGTCGTGACGGAGATTAGAAGGAGAACGAGAAGGACAAGGACAAGGAGAAAGAAAGAGCGGTTGAAAGAAATAAAGACACGGAAAGAACATGAAAGAAGGTATGAAGAAAGAAGAAAGCAAGAGGAAGCTACTAGGAGCAAGGAGGCCACTAGGGGCTCCTGGCCTTACTACTAGGAGCGATCGAACGCTACTAGAAGCTTTTTCGCGTGCGCGCGTGAAGAAGAAAGCAAAAGGAAGCCGAAGAGAACTCTTGTTGCGATGTGTGCAATTTCCACGCCTGCTCGTTGGGTGGCATGGCTGCAAGGCGACTATGCAAGAAATCCACGGCCTCTTGGCCTCGGGGGTTTTCGATCGCTTGAGGTTGAAAAACAATGTACTTTTGATGTACACGTTTCAGGCTCTACTCTAGTTTAGGGTTTAGGATGGTTTAGGGTACAGTAGACAGACAGGGGTAATGTAGACTCTCGAAATATATTCAAGAGTCCACAATTATAGATGAGTTATGTTCAACGCCGGAAATGGAAACAGACGCGGCATTGCTCGCCACCCGTCGTCCGATGGTTGCTTTTCTCAGGTCGCTGACAGCTAAAGACGGCAAAAAGACCGTCGCAAGCCATAAAGAGGAACTCGTCCTGACGCAGAAGGTACAGAGTAGGAATTCTTGGAGAGTGCCAGAGGAGAATGTACCAACTACTTGAGTAAAGGGCTTGTGGCCAGGCAGTGGCTTGACGAGATGAAGAGGGAGAGGGTGATATGTACTAGATTAAGCCTGACAGCTCACTCTCAGAGCCTTCACTGTAAAAGCTTCATTGTCCCGTTGGGTCTGTATACCACATCAAGCAGGTGTCAAAAGGCAAGATGAAATCAACAGCTTTCACTTTTAAACAAAAGTAACAAAACAATCCATCAAGCGCATCCGCATGAGTTACGCCACACTCGTCGCGTTCCGCGTTTCGGCCTCTTTGTCGGTTTCCCCTCTTGGTCCTCCGGTGTGAGCTGCTCTACCCGGATCTCTGGCTCGGCAATGACCAATGGCCTTGAGACCAGCTTGAGACCCGAACAAAGGCATTGGGAGTAATGTATCTACCTTGCGCACACCATGGCATTTGGGGCCCAACAGAACCTGCGAAAAGCGATGAGTCGAAAAATGCACGATTTCTCGACTCATCGCTCGGTTTCGCATCGTTCGAAGTGCCGAGCTCAACTGAGACCCTGACTGCGAAATGTTATCTGCTTTGGTCACTCCAACCTGCCCAGCTGCCCAAGGTTTGCGCGCGTTTTGGTCCCACACCTCAAAACCCAGCTGTGCCGGTCAGTGCATGGCGGCTGCCGCGGCACCTTGTACTCTTCGTCTCCGAAAGCACGAGACACCGCCAGGCGCCCGAGCCTGACGGCGGGTGCACAGGGAGGTCCAGACTTGGGCAGAAGCTCAACCCTCGAGGTGGCACGTGTTTTGCGAGGGAAATTGGTTTAGATGACATTGGGCCAAAACCACCAAAAAACCCACGCCCCCACACCCCCAACCCTTCATGCTTCATGTCGATGAGCAGGTTGGCCATGCAGGGCGCTCATACTCCGAGGCTGCCACACTCGGTGGAAGGATACAAAGCCACCTGCCTGAAGGCGGAAGGCGAGGATCCGGATTCACCTGAGACCTCTTGTTTCATCTTTCTAAGACGCTCAAGAAACACGGGAATTGTGTAAAACATGTCCAAGAAGAATAGACAATTAGCCCAGCTGGAGACCCCAATAGCAAGATACAAACCGGGACAAAAAGAAAAATCTGGAAACAGCTGCTGTTTTCAACACATCGACCATCTCTTCCTTGGACGCCATCATCACATAACCGGGACACCATCACAAAATGACCAGGGCACCATCAAAACATGACCGAGACACCGTCACAACATGATTGGGACACCATCACAACATATCCGGGACACCATCACAAGGTGACCGGGACACCAGCATGACATGACGGGGGCACCATCACAACATGACCGGGACACTATCACAACATGACCGGGACACCGTCACATGACCCGGACACCATCAAAACATAACCAGCACGCCGCCAAAACATGACCAGGACCCCATCACAACATGACCGGGACACCATCAAAACATGACCGGGACACCGTCACAACATGAGCGAGACACCATCACAACATGACTGGGACACCGTCACAACATCACTGGGACACAATCACAACATGACCGGGACACCATCACAAGGTGACCGGGACACCAACATGACATGACGGGAAAACCATCACAAGATGACCAGGACACCATCACAACATGACCGGGACACCGTCACATGACCCGGACACCATCAAAACATAACCGGCACACCGCCAAAACATGACCAGGACACCATCACAACAGGACCGGGACACCATCAAAACATGACCGGGACACCATCACAACACGACCGGGACACCATCAAAACATGACCGGGACACCATCACAACATGACCGGGACACCATCAAAACATGACCGGGACACCATCAAAACAGGACCGGGACACCATCACAACATGACTGGGACACAATCAAAACATGATCGGGACACCATCACAACATGACCGCGCCACCATCACATGATCGGGACACCATCAAAACATGACCGGGACACCGTCACAACACGACCGGGACACCATCAAGACATGACCGGGACACCATCACAACATGACCGGGACACCATCAAAACATGACCGGGACACCATCACAACATGACCGGGACACCATCAAAACATGACCGGGACACCATCAAAACACGACCGGGACACCATCACAACATGACTGGGACACAATCAAAACATGATCGGGACACCATCACAACATGACCGCGCCACCATCACATGATCGGGACACCATCAAAACATGACCGGGACACCGTCACAACACGACCGGGACACCATCAAAACATGCCCGGGACACCATCACAACATGACCGGGACACCATCACAACATGACCGGGACACCTTCAAAACATGACCGGGACACCATCACAACATGACCGGGACACCATCAAAACATGACCGGGACACCATCAAAACAGGACCGGGACACCATCACAACATGATTGGGTCACAATCAAAACATGATCGGGACACCAGGACACCAGCATCACATGACCCGGACGCCATCAAAACATGACCGGGACACCATCTGCCCACCAGCTCTGACGGTGACCCGACGGCGCCCGTCCGCCTATTAGTTTTGCAAGACCCCATAGCATGGCTATTGGGGAAAAAAGAAAGGTGCTTCGGACCCTTTGTGAGTTCATCTCGTTTTGACCTTCAACAAGTAGTCATCTTTCTTCTCATTGTTCATGCATTTCCTCTTATTGAAACACCTCCAACGCAATTGAGGCCCCGTCGCGTTGGTTTCGCTTTGTGTGAGTTCAAAACCCTGAAATGCGTAAACTCAACCACCAATCACCAAACCGACAAAAAAGGTTGGATCACATCCATCTCACCGTCACCTGCTCGATGCGTTTGGACTCATCTGCGCGGCTGGGCTTGTGGTCTAATGACAGCTGTAGCGCTCGGCCTCAGACAAACTCGGGGCCAGGTTTCCTCGTCACATGTGTCTCAACATGTGACTCACTCACATGGGCATGTGTCTCAAGCAGGGCCACCATCATTCACAAGACCCTACAGTCTCAAGAAAAGGCCTTCTTGTCGTACCAGAGCACTCATCTCATCGTGCTCTCGTACCAGAAAAGGAAACAAAGAAGTGAAAACAGAAAAGATGAAGCCTGTTGCTGGTAGCGATGATGTTCAATGAGACACAAGCTCCTCAGTTGATATAAGAACATCTGAGGTTCCACGCCATTTCGGCAGAGTAAGGCTCTGCTGTCGCCCACATTCGCACACCAAACCCAACCACCCACCTCAGCTGACAGAGGCAACAGAGATGCCTTTCACTCTGTATAGTTCGCTGAGTTTGAACAGTATCTATCAAGAAATGCAAAAGTATTCAATGAAGTTCTGGAAGGACATGACGAGGCACCAAATGCTAGTGAGAGTCCAAAGGCTGTTTCTACAACAGCAGTGTTGAAGAGTTCCTCACCCTAAAACGGAACAACTCTCAACTGCGATCCACACCACTTCAGCATCGGCTTCGGCACCAAGGCACAAGACAAGCAACCACCGCAGTGCTTCCGGAACCACCGTTCTCCATGCCCTTGCAGGAAAAGGCATGAAAAGACTCTTCACTGTCATGGACTTGCAGGTCCGCAACGTGTCCTTCTGAACTGAAAGAATCTGCAGGTCCGCAACGTGAACTGACAGCAACCCATGTGTTTCAACGGTCCGAGCAGCTGGAAACCGGCTGTTGCGCCTGTGTGAGGCCCAAGAACTGTTGATCCGTCTTTAGGAAGCCCTGCATGAGGCTGTCGTGCATGTCCTGGTGAACCTCAACAGGGGCTGAAAAAAACATTCCAACAAATGATGCTCAATTCAACGGGAAATTCTAAAAACACGGGTCTTGGCTCTTCAAGCCTGGACAGACTTATCCAGTCCGCCCCTGGCATGCAGGGCGGCGACGATGTTGACATGCAACCGCCGGCGCCTCAAGTGGGCGCCAGGGTCAGCGCGGGAAAAAGACACGCCCCTAACGCGCAAGGTCTTTGTGCAAAACGAAAGCGTGCTTGGCCTTGGGCTCAAACAGAAAGAAACAAAACGAACGGAGAAGGAAAGGTCTAGACTCTGGACATCTAGACTCTGGAGAACCTGAAAGAGAAAGGAGTTTGTTCCAGTCTTCTGCGCCACCCGGCACAAAGTTCACGCAGTCCCTGCCACCATGGCCATCGTAAATGCCAAAATAAGAGCATTGCCTCTGCTGTGGGGAAGCAATGCTTAGGCGAGTTGCACGGCCAAACTAATCACCTCCATCATCGTGAAAAGTCGATAGAATATAATCCAATCAATTTTTTCTTGAATACTAACTTACAGTGTTCAAACAATATTTGAGTGTTGAAAGACATTGTATAACATATCACGACTGTTTGAATACTGGTGGATGTCGCTAGGGAGGCCACACAAGAGTGAAAGCGGCCCAGCCTCCAATTAGAGGTTGCCAGATCTTGAATGAGGATGTCCTCATCCTGGAAGAAGGTCTTTATCTAGAAGCATGATGACCAATGACCCCGGTATATCATAGTATATCAGTATATCTCCGTGCTCGACACAGGAATCCGCTCAACAAATTCCTGACAGACACCGCTCTGTTTCAGAGGCTCCTGTTTGACATCACGAACCACAGGTTGAGTTTCTCTCGGAAGGAATACACCGCAACCAAGTTCTCTTTTGGGGCTGTCTAACCAATGCCTCCAAACGAGACTTACACTTCACCATGCTCATCAATGTTCTTGGAGCAGCAAATGCTCGTCGTCAGGTTCAAAACCCTGGTGCTCCGGCATGCTCCTCCATTGTTGCTCGAAGGCCTTGTTCCGAGTAGGACGCTGCATTGAAGCGCAAGACCTGTACACAGCGCCTGCCCGGCCTGCCCTGTCCGCTAGAGACTCCCACAACTCTGACACACAGGAGTCAGGGCATGTGCCCAGCATGTGCTATCCTCGCCACGCGATCGTACTTGGCTTCGTGCCCCCATGTGCCCAGACGGTTCCAACGCGTCGCGACGAAGGATCGCCTGAAACTCCAGGGTTCCAATGGAAAACAGGTCCTGGAGCCGTCACCAAGCACCGAGCGAGCGCGGCGACACCGAGCGAGCGCGGTTTCGTGGGGCGAAGGTTTGAACGTTCACAACGACAAACAGATTCCGAACTTCGAACTTCAAAGCCGCCGAAACAGGGCGGTCTGTCGACATGTGGTTTTTAGGGGCTAAGAAACCTTTCTCGCATGGCTAAAGATGCTCTGTTTGTTGTTTCTTGAGGTCATGACCACTTGCCCCTTCAAATTGGATCATTCAATGGAAGTATTTGAATCATGTTAAATCAAACCACGATCTTTTTACTTGACTGTCAGCCCCACATGCTTGATTAACAGCAAGTCACAAGCGATGCACACACACCCCACCTACAATGACACATGGCCAATCTTCCCCCACCGCCCAACATGAGTTGTTAAGCTGTTGACCCCGGTGTAACTACGATCTACAGCGATCTACAACTACCATCACGACTGTTCGCTCCTGTGGCATAAGCCAGTGGCTCTGGTCTGCTCGTAGCCGAACCCAGCCTGTTCGCTCTCACTCCAACGTGTCGGACGGCGGAGACGGAGGTACGACGGACGACGGAGTCTGGGCAAAAGACCACGGTCGAACCCGCACGATGCTCACGATCACTCTGTCTGTGACAACGCCCAACAGTTGACACACAGTGACCAACAGTGAGAAAAGTCGACCTGGACCTGGACATACACGACATCGTTCTTGAAAAAGACTCTACACATGTTACACAGGACAGACGGTACACCTCGGCTTTCCATCCGGGCCTTTTTGTTCTGACTCCGCCGATCGCTCACCTGCGATGGCCAGTGATCAGCTGACTCGGTGACTCCGATCGATCCTGTAGTGCCTATCATGGACCCAATCATCACGGAACGTGTTCTTTTTAAATGGAAACCTAAGAGCAATGGCCTCCAAACTAGAGGTGATGGCCTCCACCCTAGTAGCGATGGCCTCCGAACTAGTAACGATGGATCCTGTTCTTAAATTCTGAATCTAACAGGCTAAGGCGGCTAAGGGCAACGCTGAAATGCACATAGTATCGTCCAAAAGAATAGCCTCAGGTCGGTGGCAGAATATGTTGCAACTCTGCCACGAGCGGCGTGCATGTGCATGCTTGTATGTGGCGTAGATCTTAGGCAACAGCAACTACTGTAGCCCTGGCTTGGCTTTTGTACTCGTGTCTCGTTGACGAAAGTTTCACTACTGCTACCCCTGAAACTGCAAAAAGCAAAGTGTCAGTGGTTGACCAGCAAACTGAAATAACTAATCTCAGGACTGCAAAGCACATCCCACACCATCACACATTCCCTCTACGAACATCTTTCTCTTCTTCTGTTTCTCTAGATGTCTTTAGACTCTTGGGACCTTTCTTTCTTCCTTTCCTTTCTAAGCACCCAGGCCGATCCGCAGCTGTTCCGGCCGAAGCCAGCCAGCGATATGAGCCTTCCGTGAGTTGAAAGTGCAACCAACCAACCTAGTAGCGTCCGATCGCTCCTAGTAGCGATGCCAGGAGCCCCTAGTAGCGTCCTTCCCAGAAAATTACCAACCAAATTTTGTGACGTGTTCCCTATCTACAAGGATTGCTTTTAGGATCTCACCAGCTAAACGGGCTTGGCTAGAAAGCTCTTGTCCATGGTGAAACCATGTCGGCTTCTCTTCATGTCTCTTCGGCTTCTTCAAAGTGTTCATTGCGACTGTAGTTCCTCATACAGTGATTTCAGAGTAGATGGCACAAACCCCAAGATGGCTTTTATATAGGGGTCTATATAAACCACCTGTTGGGGATTATGCCATCTTACTCTGAAACCACTGTATGAGGAACGCCCTTCCTTTCGACGAGGAACGTCCGGTGCACCTCGAAGCTGGGTCTTCTACTGAACACAGCAGACATTGACCCGTTGAAGAGGATGTTCCTTTACAATCCAGTTTTGGGTGTCCGAATAGGCCGATGCCAAGCTTGGAAAAGGCTCCTGGAAAAGCGGGTCCGTTGCGTGGCTCAAACGGCTTGACTCTTTTCGGAGTCGACCCTCGACACACCGTCTCCTCGATCCGTGTCTCTCACGTGTCCAGGCCTGTCCAACCGGTGAGTCCTGCGCAGATTGAACACAACCATGTGATCATGTCATGCAATATTATGCAATGCTCTTCTAGGGGAAAGAAGCATCCACACCAATGGCTGAGAAACATTTCAGCCCAGCACTAACCCGACCGAGGGTTCCCCGACGAAGTCATCACCAAAACATACCAAAACTTGCAGAAAAGTACAGTGGCCACATGTACTACAACCATATTGTCCTGAAGAAACAAGCAAAGTGAGGTGAGAGTTCTGTCCTTCGAATTGTTCGAGTGGACTCCCGACAGAGCATCATCCACCTCCTGCTGACACCACGAAAACGGACATGCAGAAACTCTGCGATTACCGCATCAGGCCAGAAAGTCTAGCAATCACAGCACTAAGACCCAACCGAAGAAAAAAAACGAGAAAGAACCGTCTATAAAATAAATCAAAACGGAACGGAAGAACAAGAAACAGAAGCATCGACATACGAGGGTGCCAGCGCCTTCTCCTCGGCGGGAACTCCGACCGGCCAAAGTTCAATAGTGCCACCAGCCTGCAAACTGGCAAGAAGACGTCATAGCGTTGTTGTTCCTAGCACTAAGGCCAGGAGCCCCTAGTAGCGTCCGATCGCTCCTAGTAGCGATGCCCTTTGTCACTATATAGTAGCGTCCTTGCTCCTAAATATATGTTCATTCCATGTTCATTCCTGAATTCCGGATTCCTATCGTTCCTTCTTCATGGTTTCTCCGTTTCCCACGTGCGACCAAGACAACACATTGATGTAAAGAAAAGGGAAAAGCATCAATGGTGCTCAACACATTGATGTTTACACTTCTCATTGATGTTTAACACCTTTCCGTTTACCCCGTGCTGTTGACTGGGACGATGCCAACGACCGGGACGACGACCGGATAGGCTTCCCGGCCCATCCCACGCTGGCCACGACCCCTGAAGAGCCTCAGTGGATCCGGTGGGCACTGCGAGTGGTTTCGCCAATTCACCTGGCGCACATCATGTCCACCATGTGTTGCACGTTGTTGCACGTTGTTGCACCATGTGTGCACCATCATGAATGTGACGTTTTGCTGAAAGAGGGTGAATTCCGGGCGAATTCCGGGCGGTGATGTTTTTCGGGAAGGGAAGGCACATGTCATGTGGCATCCTGAGGCATCCCACAAAGCTCGCTGTCGCCGGCCGGGGCACCTGTCCCCACGTTGGGTGGTTGAGCAGATTCAACAGCTTCGTCTGACGATTCTGAAGAAATATCAAAAAGAACGAAGCTATATCGTCAGAATAAAATATGTCATTGAATTTCCATTCATATGGTCATTGAATAGTTATTGAATTGGCCACACGAACCACCCAATCCACCGGCACGTGCCACACGAACCACTGCCTTCGCTCGGCGTCACGCCCGAGCAGGGCGTGGAGCCCGTGGCCGGCCGCACACTGAACCTCAGGTTTTCCCTGTGACCTGAGGTGAAAGATGGTTTTCAAAGTGGGTAAAACTATATGGTGAAACATGGTGAAACTGTGTGAAAATCATCAGAACGTTGCACGAATCCTTGAAACGGGTGGCTTTTCAAAGAGACCCACATCCACTCCGAAAGTGGACGAAATCGATGAAGCAACCGAGCAACCGAGCAACCGAGAAAATCGACGCCATGTCGAGATCTTCGACACCAGTCTTTTCGAGCCGTCGAGCTCCGCTGCTGTCGACAGTTCTCGTCGCACTGTTCTCATCGCGCCAGAAGAATTCATCCAAAGCGCTGCTAAAAAAAGCAGCGAAACTGACAGTGGAAGTTGTATGATATCCTCCCCTTCTTTGAACACCTTGCAGAATTCTACCAGGTTTCTTGATGTTTCTTGCACATGTTCAACTGCGCCAAGCAACTCCAGGGTGTGCGTGGGATATGCATCACTGGGCCACATCCTGCCAAGTCTGTCGATTCAGAAAGCCCAACTGACCCAAACACCACGAGAACGAGAACTCGAGAACCGAAAAGCAAGCAAGATGACGATGGGATCCATGTCGACGTACAAAAAAAACTTCCTCTGTGGATGGCCACTGCGTCTTTGATTTCGACATGTCGGTTTTAATGTTATCAACTGCTTGCTGTGTCTGTACCATCCGAATCCAAGCCGGCGGCCCGAACCCGCGGCCGCTTGGGACCCGAGAGAGTCGCCTGTCCAACTCTTTGGCAGCCATTTCCAGCGACTGATAATCTTCGTTGGAGAGTTCAGCGCTGAGCATCCTTGCACGCTTGAACTGCCCGCGGGGAGAAGCTTTGTTTAGCTAATAGGAGAAAGTCTCAGCAGAGAGAGAGAGAGAGAGGGAGAGGGAGACTCTCATCGATCCACCGACCTGACAATCCGTTTCATCGGTGATGATGTCTTCGTTTCAAGTCATCGTCTTACGTAAACTCCAAAGTATTTCTTTGCGTTCGAGTGTTCGATCGAGTGTGCACTTCTGTGGACTCACGGAGTGCTCCGACCCTGAAAAAACCAAAGCAAAGAGGTGGTTCCTCCCACGTCCAAATCCCTTCTTTGGAGAGGTAACCTACTAGCGATGGTCTCCAACCTACTAGCGACCCCTTCTTTGGAGAGTCTGTCCGCACCTCCTCCTTCCGCCGCTCCAACTCCCTTTGTCTTCTGCTTCTGGGTGTCCCGGGCGACGGCAGCTCTTGCAACAAGCGGTGCCGTAGAGACGACAGGCCACAAAAGCCCTTCTCGTTCAGCAGACCTGCGAAGCGCTGCAGCCTCGGTCCACCGATGCATCCGCCGATTCGCCGTCGGGGAAGGTCGCCTGGACACCACGGGCACGGTGTTTTCTTGTATTCTTTCGGGAAAACGGAAGTTGGAGTCATGGGTTTGATCTCAACAGAAGCAGTGCACTCTCTGCAGTCAAAGGCATTGGGTGGAAATGGGCAAGATGCATTGCAATGCGCAGAAAAATGTTCAAACATGTGTGTCTTTCTTCAAACATTCTGCAAATGTCCGTGCAGCCACTCAGCGAGGCCCATACATTGATAGTCGTTTGAATAGCGCAATGCAACTGGTTCATGTCTATGGAAAGTCAGTGGAGAAACGATCTGGTGGGGGCAAGTGGCTTTGGATCAACCAAAACAATCTTCTTGGTTGGGAAAATAGAGTAGGATTGCACGCAATCGGTGTGTTTTTTTGCACTTAACTAGTCACATCTAGATCACTATCGTCGTTATTTTGGATTGCTCTCCTAATTTTTCACTCATGCTCAAATGGATTGATGATGATTGACGGCCTTTCATAAAGAAAGGATAAATTGTTCACATCAACTCGTCCAGTTTCGACCACAAACTCGTCGACCGTCACATCCACTGACTCTCCAAGGCACTGATATGTGGAGAGCCATTGCTCCACCTGGTGGAGCTAAGACTTGGAGCGTGGAGTTCGAAGAGAAGCGCACTGGATATCATCAGCGCGTGACTCTGGATATAGTACCCGTACGTCAAGAACACCTTTTTAAGACTTGCTGTGGAGAGGTCCAAAAAGAAAGAAACCAAGAAGGAGACCGAACCGGCGTTCCGACCTGGAAGGTTCGGAACATAGACCGGTCTACACACCGATCGCCATCGGGGCGAGCTTTCGGGTGGGATCCCTGTTGCACATGGAACAAACCACACAAACAAGCAAACAAACACGACATGCTTTTCGGGCACTTCATGTTCCACGCCACGATTCTCACGACTTCACATGACAGCTGGTTTTCTCGCCATTCTTTCCAGAGAATTCTCCCACCTCCTCAGCTTCTAGTAACAAGGGCATCGCTACTAGTAACAAGTGCATTACTATTAGTAGCTAGAAGCTACTAGTAGCGATGCACTTGTTGCTAGTAGCTTCTTGTTACTGGTTACTCGAAGAATTCTCCCACCTCCTCAGCTTCTGTGATCTCCTGCCCCTGCCGCACTTCGATCAGAGAGTCACCGATCCTGGCCGTCGACCCGCGGCGACGGAAGACTCACGTTTGGAGAAGCGATGCGCATTGAACATGTGTATGGTGGATGGTAATGGTAATGGCGGATTCGAACGACTCAAAAATGTCTGGCCACCTTGTTAGCCCAAGCTTGTTAGGTCTCCTCATGTTGTTGAACAGTACTAAAATTATTACATCACGCGAGTCTGACTCTTCCCACAACGGCCCCGGTTTCTCGGGTTTCTCCTGATTTCCTGCCCTGGTGCGATCTCAACGGACCGGTTCCATCTTATTCGGACCTCGGTCACTGACAGAGCGTTAAAAAAACTGCGGTTGCTCGGCGTGGGGTGGCTTAACCTGGTGGCTCACCCGGTCGGGGATAACCCCAACGGTGAAGCTCACTTGGCCACGGTGAACCTCTGTGGCCCGTGCCCAGGTACCGTCAACGCTTCCAGCATCCTGGCACGCATCCCATGTCTGAAAGGGCTGAGTCGTTCTTGGGGAAAGGAAGATAAAGGAAGAGCAGGAAGAGCAAAGTGAAAGGTCGAAAAAAGAATCGAGCTCTAGCATTCCTATTTGTTTGGCTTGTTCATTCTTGAGACCCTTGGACCTTTCTCTTCTGTTTGTTCCAGTTCTTGTTTGACGAAACCTTCCGTCTTCTCTTTTTCCTGTTCTCTTACGTTTCTCTCGTTCTCTTTGCTTACGTCTTACGTGTGATCTTTATACTTCTTTAGACTTCTTTGTTCTTTCTGTTTATCCTTTCAAATCCTTTAGCGCTTTAGACCTATTCTTTAAGAGAAGTCTCGACTGTCCCTCCCCACCGTGAGGAAATACTGGCAGGTTGCAGCGACAAACCTCGGGCACTGCAGGAAGCTCGGACGGATTTTTTACGGATGAAATCCACCGAAATGCTGATCATTTTTGTCGCTGGGTTGCAATCAAAAAAAGCAACGCTGGCTGACTGCATTGTGATCTCACCATCCAGAATGTAAATGATGTTGGTCCCAAAACCTTTTCTATGCCAGCTCTGTCGAGAAGCCATGCGATGAAAAAAACCACGCACGGCGTCCACGGCGCCAGAGCGACCGTCACGTCCCGAGCACTTGGATTCTTCGACGTCGAGCGTGGAGTCTGAGCTCCGCGCTTGATCTCTGCATGACTTGGCGAGAGTCCAGCATTCTCAATGTACATGGTCACCGCCTAAGGAAGCTGAAGTCCGTCCTCAGCTTCCTTTGGTGTTATTACAGGTGCTTTGTATGGGACAGAGGTGGGAGAAACGGTTTAAATGCACAAGAAGCATCAAGGAGCATGCAGATCTTGAACAGTTGTTCTCCAGGTTCCTCTCTTGGACGAAAAGGAACAAAGGAAAAAGAAGTTGAAGCATCTGCAAACTCGCCTGCACGTCACGAATGCACACGATAGGCTCCAAACGTTGCTATTGCGGTCACTGCCGAAAAGCTCTCCCTGTGAAGTTCGGTTGATGTAGATGAAGCGCCCGGCGAAGAGACCCTCGGCCATCGGTCAAATGACACAAACCATGGATGCGTTGAGCCACCAAGGTGTCATGGACAAGGTGTCAAGAGACACCATGGAAGTTTTTCTTCACGAGCTCACATGTTGAAGACGCGATGAAGCAATTGAGCCGTCCATGCATGATTCATCTTCCTTTGGATGCCCATCCAAAAGCAACACAAAAGCAGAATCGAAAGGAGGCTTATCAAAAGCAAAAGAAACTGGTGTTGCCATCCATCCATCCATCCATGCCATCTATGTCTCCATCCATCGGAACCACCGGTTGTGGAGCAAGGACGCTACTAGGAGCAAAGGGCATTGCTACTAGAAACAAGAAATAAATAGAAGCGTCCGATCGCTCCTAGTAGCGATGCCCTTTGCTCCTAGTGGCGTCCTTGCTCCTAGTAGTAAGGCCAGGAGCCCCTGGTAGCTTCTTGTTACTACAAGAAAAAAAAGAGAAGCTACTAGGAACAAGTGCATCGCTGCTAGGAACAAGTGCCTTACTTAGTAGTAACAAGAAGCTATTAAAAACAAGAAGCTACGGCGGGACCTTTTCGGAACCACCGGGACATGGCCCCCTCGCCTGGACGCAGCGGGCGACGAAGTCCACGGGCCCCGCGCTGAGTTGCTCCATGCCTCGGAGAAGCTCCGGCAGACTCGGAGCTTCTTGTTTCTAATAGCTTCTTGTTACTACTAGTAAGGCACCTGTTACTACTAGCGTGGCACAGCTGTGGGTTTGGACCAATGTGGGTTTCGGGTTTAGGGTTTGGTGGATTTGGTGGAAAAACGGATTGGGAAACACGTTCTTCCCGAGGCCGTCGGATCGGTTTAGGATCGTTTTGGAGCTGCGTACGGAGCTCGTATGTCCTCCAGTGGTCACCGTATCTGGCAACCTGCTAGGCTTGAGTCTTGGCCGATGGTTGCAAACCCGGTCTCGACATGAAAACGGACGTGTTTTGCCAAGTGGGGGCAGAGAGTGATACTGCAAGACCTGTGAGAGCAGCCAAGAAATTGAAAGGAACTCTAAGCGACTCCATCACTGCACATTCTCCCTGAACAAGACTGAATTGGAGCCATTTCATCTGCCAGATGTCCGATGTCCATGTTTTGATCTACCAAATGTCACATATCTGTGTGTGATCCGTCCCTCCTTTGGACTCCCCACGAACTCTCTCCATCCCCTTGGGGGACGCCAACGGCGCCAGAGCATCGGCCTCCCGGATCGTTTGGCACGAAGGAAGCGAACAAGCTCAGAGTAGAAGCGATGGCCTCCAACCCAATAGCAATGGAATCCTCTAGAGGAGGATTCTTGGAGGCAATTCCTTTTATCAATGAAGAACCTCCACTGTATGCAAGGGTGTCTTTTCTGGTGAGATTCACTTTCAAGGTAAAAACTACGGATTCAAAGCACCTTCCTGGGAGGACCTTTATTCACACATATGTCAGAATGTCAAGTAGGAAAAGCTTATCAGCATCAGCTTTGGCCTCAAAAGGACATTGCTTCTGCCAAGCTTGGCAAGAGTCTAGCTATCTACAGCGTTTGCTGTAAAGCTAAAAGAAAAAGGTGCACTCAGCCATAAGAGGCATGACACAGTACGCTTGTCAGAGGCTCTTGTACTTCTCGATGGCCGACTTCACTTGTTCCTGCTGATCTGCTGGGACCATGCAAATGCACTTCTCCATAGTTCCGACTGGGCCACCACAGCAGGGGAAAAGGGGCTTGATGCTTGCAGGTGCCTTTTCGCCCATCTCATCCTCAATCTTCTTCTTGGCTGCCTCCTTCATAGAGTCACCCATTCCACTCAACATGGACGACATCTCCAAGGCACGAACGAAAGAACCCAACAATGAATGGCTGAGGCTGTGAAATGGCTTCGTGGAATGCGGCAGTGCGACAATGGGAAGCATAGAAAAGGATGCTAGCAATGCATCTTGTCAATTGAGAATTCGTCCCCCACCAACCCTGAAGAAGGAATTTGAAAAGAAGGACGTCTGCGACAAAAAAAGGGAAAGTTTATGAAGCGAAGATTGCGTGTCGAGTCTAGTGAAGCCCTGTGAGAAAAAAAGTAATGCAAGGAAGTTCGATGCCCTACCTCGCAAAATGTTTTTGTTCAAGTTCACGCACATATCACGATATCAAGTGGTGAGTCTGAGGGAAGGTTATTGGCATCAGCTTTGGCCTCAAAAGGACATTGCTTCTGCCAAGCTTCGCAAGAGTCTAGCTATCTACAGCGTTTGCTGTAAAGCTAAAAGAAAA